AGCGTGTGACAGTCATTTGCCTATTTGCTCTCAGGTCCCTTCCCCGCCCTTCCTGTGCTCGGCTCTGTATTGCAAGGAACTCATTTCCCAGGTTCTTTTGCAAACTGGCTTTTGGTATGTTTGACCTAGTGGGGGGCACTGGAGAAGACTCAAGGAGGAGTGATGAGGCCATGTTTTTCCTCCCCAGACATGTCTCCTCTTTGACTTTCACTCGATTGACCCTGCCTCCATGGTCCCTGTTCTGCTGGTCAACTCCACCATGGTCCAGCTCCCATCTGGGGGCCCTGGCCTTAGGCTCTGGTGACCCTGTCTTCCCTCTTTGTCCCTCCAACCTGCTGTTGTAATTTCCAGACTGCCTCACCATCCTCTGTTTGGCTTTTCGGCCCTTCCATCTCTGTGGAAAGAATTCCCTATGTTATATTACTTTGGTTAAAATAACTAGACAGTTTTTTGTTTTCCTGGCTAAATTTTGAGTGATGCAAAGCCCAAATACACTTAATTGATTTGATGAGATTATTGTCCGGGAATACTAGTTTTCACTGATCAGTATAACTCTGAGATCATTCATTTCTTTTCATTCATAAAAGGAGAGTTGAAACACTAGTCCCAGTCTTGATAAGACCCCTGAGGGACTTGACTTCTGTTGTTTGGCTGACTGAGACCTCTCTCTGTCCCTTCTTGTCAATGTTTGTTTGTCTTCTAAAGCAAAGAAGCAAACAAATCGAAGAGGACTTGATTGAGAACTTCTAATACAAGTACTATTTTAGATTATGCTATTTTGGGGGGGGAAAGTAAAGGTATGTGAATTGTGAAAAGGAAGTCATTTATTTGACTCTTAGAACCCCATGACTTTTGTCACCAAAGGGGGGCACATAATATATTTTCAATAAATAAATATGCAGAAATTAATGCCTAACTAGAGGTACAAGATACTTGGGAGCTTAGGGGAGGCAGAGACTAATTCTTAGGTAAAATGGACAAAGCCTTCTACCCTACCCCACACCATCTGCCAGTTCTCCAAAGTAGTACTTTCTCTGCTTTCCATTGTCTAATTAGATTCCACTGGCTAATTAGGTCCAGAGAGAAGAGGCCATCCATGCCTTGAAAATAACTCCCTCCTTTTAGATGATGGTGATTAGTGTGCCGTGGTAATTATAATTGGTTCCCTGAGGCAGACACCCACTGTGAAGAGTGGCTGACTTGCCGTCCTTACTTGATTTTCTTGGGTAGCTACTGTCAACATCACAGAGCATTTGTTAATGTTAGGATTGCTGTGAGGATTAAATGAGATGTGCTTGTAAAGGCACGTAGCATAGAATAAATGTGCAGTAATTGCTGGTTATTTTTGTATTTATCAATACCATCATCTCATTTATTGAGCATGTACTTTGTGTTAAGCATTTGACATGTGTTATCTCATTTATTTTTATTTATTTATTTATTTATTTTTGTGAGGAGATCATCCCTGTGCTAACATCTGCCAATCCTCCTCTTTTTGCTGAGGAAGACTGGCCCTGGGCTAACATCCGTGCCCATCTTCCTCCACTTTATATGGGATGCCGCCACAGCATGGCTTGCCAAGCGGTGCGTCGGTGCGCGCCCAGGATCCGAACCTGCGAACCCCGGGCCGCCGCAGTGGAGGGCGCGCACTTAACTGCTTGGGCCGCCGCAGTGGAGGGCGCGCACTTAACTGCTTGCGCCACCTGGCCGGCCCCTATCTCATTTAATCCCCACAAAAACTCCAGGAAGTAGGAAATATGATAATCCTCATCTCACAGATGAGGGAACTGGGGCCCTGGCGGGGAGGAGAGTGGCTTGTTCAAGGTCATAAAACTGCTAAGAGATGAAGCTGAAACTTGAAACTTGAACGGTCTGATTGTAACGTATTTTCTTATGCTATACTATCTGGATTGCCCCATTAATGACAACTCACTGAAAAATACATTTTAAAAAGTATCATACAATAAGCAGGCATTGAGGATGTATTAGCTGCAAATTTAGCATGGTGATGAAAAAAAAAGTTTGGATCGGTTTCCTCCATCAGCACCGTTTCTTGAGCTCTCCTTGTGTGAAAAGCTCCCTATGGGGAGCCTTGGTTAGAGGACAGAGAAATAAGGCATAGATCTCAGTGAAGGCAGCTGAGCCAATCTCACAAAACAATGAGTCAAACATGCACATTAACCTGACACAGGCTGAAAATGCAGACTTGGGAGGGTAGAGGAGCCTCCTATAGGTGGTTCCTGCAGCTTTACTTGGTTCAGGAGACAGGGTTTGGTATCTAACAGATGCCTGAGTTCAAACCTCGGTTTTGCCTCTTTGTGCAGTATGGTCTCCAGTGTGTTCCTCTACCTCTTTGAGCTGTAGTGTTCTCCTGCATAAAAAGGGGGTAGTGATGGCGACTTCACAGAAGTACTGTGAAGGGCCTTGTTGCTGACACGGGTATATGTTAAATCAATTTTAGTTCTTAAATATATTACTGTGCAGGGTGATGTCAGTCTACTTAAAAACCCCAAACAAACACACAAATAGCCCTGGAGCTTTTAGATTCAGCATTTGTAGATTTCCTCCGAGGTCTCCCACCCCACCCATGAGTCTTTGGTTATCTGGCAAATGCACAAAAGGAAATTAATTGCATCTAGCTGCCACCATGAAATACCCAGAAAGTCACCTTTGAGGAAATCCAGCACTTCCAAGAAAAAACAAAGACACAACGTTCAAAAAAACAGAGCTCTGTGATGGGCCAGTTGCCCACCCTGAAGTCCTAAAGGAGTCCTGTGATTATTTGGCGAACTGACAAATTACTAGATAACTAGATCAAAGTCCCTGAAATGCCTCTAAATGGAGAGGTTGATGAGGACAGAGGAAAGAGAGCAGCTACAATGGTTGGAGGATGAATGGAGGTGGGAGTGGAGGCGCACCCTCCCCGGACCTGTGATGGAGCACCCAGGGCCCAGTTCTCCTGTCCATAGGGCCGGATGAGCCATCCACCTTCTGGTCTCCGTCCAAATGCCTGGAGCGACTCTGAGCTTGAGGCCCAGCAGTCTCATCCTAGCAGCTTCCTATCTCATTTTTTTCTACCATTGACCAAACTTTGGGTCAGGATACTCTTCAGTTTATCAAATAATATTCCAGAATATATTTTCTAAGACATTCAATCCATCGAGCATGCAAAATCTAAGGCCTTGTGGCGTGTTAAAGTATGTTAAACTCATTTTGAGATGGTTAGTGCATTTTATTCTAGAAAGCTGGTTTTCTCAGTCCTGTTTTATATAGTGTGATTGCTTTGGCAAGATAGTCATGTGATGGAAATGGAAACATGGTGTGATGCAGTGACGTTTTATGAGTTGTAAGAGGAACCAGTGTTTGATGTGAGAGATAAAGGGGAAAGGAAGGGGAAGGTGGCAATTTCTCTGAGGTGGTTACACCTCTAGAGGCCACCAGCAGTCATAGGTGATAACATAGGTCCTTTTTATAGTTGGGTAGACTTGGGATTCTGCCAGAAGTGAAACAGTATGGAGAAGCCCAAAAATTTAAGTCTTAGATCCAATGGAAAAAGCATCCCAGTTGGAGTCTAGAGAGCTCTGAGTGCTGTCCCTACCACCAATTATGTGACCTATGACCTCTTTAACCTTTCGTTTCCTCATTTGAATAACAGTACTAATGCAATACAGTACTGTGGATTGTTTTGCCAGCAGTTAAAATGCTTCACAAATGTTTGGGTAGCTACTTGTATTTGTATTTATACTCTGATGATACTATTACATTGAAATTTTATTCTATATCTTTAAGCAAGTGATTCTACTCTCAAACTATGGTACATCAAAGCCAATATGTTTGTAGAAGGGAAAAATCCCCTGTTCCAGTGGCAAAAATACTGATTTGAGGGTGAGAGAACTCCAGTTTTATTTCTCCTACTTTCTATGCAATTTGGAGAGCTACGATCAAGTTTTTAAAAACAAGTGAATTATTTACTGGAAGAAAGGGATGCTGGAAGCTGCATATTGAGTTGTATTTTCATTGCCTCTCAGATGTTAAGATCCTACTGTATGGCATTTTACAAGACTTCTGTTTGTTAATCGTTGCAGTGTTGACATGCCCCTCATTCTGGAAGTGAGGCAGATACACACAGTGGGTGTTGAGGTCTTTTTGGCACGTGCTTCTCCCTGTACATGTGCTTCCACCATTGCATGAGCCATGGTGCTGGGGTGGCCGGTGCCCTTGAAGAGGGAGCTGAGGCTGCATTTACTGCTCACGCAGCCGTGTCTTGGGCTGGTGTTCTATCTGGGAAGGAAGTGCTGCTGGAAACATTTTATGATGCACACTTTGTACAATCAGGAACCTTAGAAATGCACAGAAACAGTCCATGACTCGAACTTCTGGTCCTGATCATCGGAGGGAATCGGCTAGTAAGAGGCCTTTCACCAGAACATATGTCCAGGAGGAGCCGGCTGTCTCCTGAGATGGTCATTGCTTAGTCTCTCTCTTTCTCTCTTCTTTCTCTCTCTGTTTCTGACTTTCTCTTCCTCTCATTCTTCTGTTTCTTTTTCTCATTGTCTCGGTTGGTTCCCTCCCTTTCACTTCTTTCTTTCCTTCTTTCCTTTCTCCCTCTCTCCCATCCTCATTCTTGCTCTTCCCTCTTTTTGGGGGGTGGGTGCTGAGGATCTGCCTGATAAGGTTTGTTGACTCTTTCCTCTGATTATTCTTCATGGGTTTTCCTGGCTCTTCTTGACTCTGGCCTGAATCCTCCCATCCAAGGTGAACAAATGTATTCCTCTGAGGGAGCAATGAGTATGGATTTTCAATGACTGCTCTGTTGAGATGAGTTTATCTGACTATGGAAAGGATACTCACGGGGCAGCAGAAGACTTTTTAGTCATCATCTTCTTCCACAAACCCAGAAGGTGGGCAGCTTTCCCCAGGAAGCTCTGCTAAGCTTTTATCTCAGTCGTGGGTATATTCTTCCTCTTTGATGACAAAGGATATTGTCTTTCTAATTATAGATTGAGGAAACTCGGCTCAACATTGACAAGATCTCTGAGCATGTGGAGGAGGCGAAGAAGCTCTACAGTATCATTCTATCTGCACCAATTCCTGAGCCAAGTGAGTGTTTACTCAGAGCTGAGTCACCCAACAGTGATCCCTGGCGTTGGGGCTGAGCCAGCCTTGTTTTCCTCCCTCTGTGAACAGCAGAGGAGTGTACGCCTTACATTACACCAATGTACACGTCCTACTATCCCCCATTCTCCTTTACCCTACCTGACTCACACTGCCCAGCCCCAGTCACCTCTTCTCTTGATGGTCCCCCTTAATCCATCTGGCCAAGCTTTCCTCTACTTCCTAGCTCATCCCTCTCATGACTAGCAACGACTCCTCCTGTGTCCCACATACCTCATCTCTGTCCCACCTCTGTACCTTTGCTTGTGCTATTTCCTCTACCTGAAATGCTTTCTCAGCACCCTTTATAAATCCTACCACATCAAGTCCATTTTTTTTCCATCAGGTGTTCCAAAGTGGTTCAAGTTCACGTCTATCGCTCCCATCCTTAAACTTCCGTTTGTTACCACCACCAAAGCCAACTTTTTTTTCCCGTAATTGTTTCATATTTTTAGAGTAGGGTCTAGGGCTATATTTTAGGTTCCTTAAGGACAAGGAATAAGTTTGGTATTGTCATTTCACTCTTTAAATTTTTCAGTGCCTTTGTATTACCTTAAGATTAAAGCCGGAACGTTTTAGCAGAGCATATGGGAATTGTCTTGGTCACATCCTGGCTTCCTCTCCACCCTTTTCTCCTGCCATCCTCATCCAAGTCACCTACACTGCAGCCAGACTCAACTTTGGCTGTTTCCCAGTGCTTCTTATCTCATGTCTTTTACTTACTGTTCCTTCTAAGACTCCACTCTTAGTCTCCTTTCTACCTTGTTGACTCTTAGTTCTTCTTCTAGACGCAGTCCTACTATCATCTGTCTTTAGAAGCCTTTGCAGATCCCTCTAGGCTGTGCTAGGGGGCTCTTCATAGGCACTCCATTTGCGCCTTGACCAGAACTCACACCTTATTCCACGCTCATATTAGGACTCTGTCCCCCACTAGACCCTGAACAGCTTGAAGGCAGGATCTATATCTTCTCTCTGATGTCTTAGTTTCTAGCTCAGTTCCAAACTTATAGTAGGTGCCTAAGGATGTTATCTGAATAATGCTCATAGCTAATATTATTTTGTTCCACACAACCTAGGATGTGTGCACACAGTAGGTATGTCATAAATATTTGCTTGATTCTAAGTTGATGAGCCTTGGTTGAAATCTTTTTTCCTCAGAAGTCCCGTAAAACCCTGTTCTGCCTTCTGAGCTGCAGCCCTCATGGTAAATCACACTATTTCCTCTAAAAGCAATGTTCTCAAAATTTTGTGTGGGAAGCCTTGTTAAAAAAAAAGCAGATTGTAGGGCTCCAACCCTGGGTGTTTTTATTCTGTAGGTCTGAGATGGGGTGCCTGGAAAATGCCTTTTAAAAACAAGCTCTCTGTGATTCTAATGACGGGTGTATGGGGAGCAGACTGGGATAGATAATGCTCTGGGCGATGGGTGCCTGAGGAAGCTACCCCCCTCCTCTGTTGATTATTGGATCTCACAAAGCGACTAGTCTCTTCTAACTGATTCTACCTGCCTTTGTTTACCCAGAAACCAAGGATGACCTAGAGCAGCTCACGACTGAGATCAAGAAAAGGGCCAACAACGTCCGAAACAAACTGAAGAGTAAGAAGGGAACAGAGGGAACAGCCCCCCACCCTCTACCTCCCACCCACAGGGTCTAGCTCTTCTGGACCAAAACTCATCCTGATGGAAGGGACCCCACTTCTTCCACCTTTGCTTGTGGTTAGGGCACTGTCCTTGGAATGACCTATTATAGCCCCAGAAATTTTACTTGTTCTTAATCATTACTGTAGTTGAAAAAGTCTAGAATTGGGCCGGCCCCGTGGCTTAGCGGTTAAGTGCGCGTGCTCCGCTACTGGTGGCCCGGGTTCGGATCCCGGGCGCGCACCGACGCACCGCTTTTCTGGCCATGCTGAGGCCGCGTCGCACATATAGCAACTAGAAGGATGTGCAGCTATGACATACAACTCTCTACTGGGGCTTTGGGGAAAAAAAAAGGAGGAGGATTGGCAATAGACGTTAGCTCAGAGCTGGTCTTCCTCAGCAAAAAGAGGAGGATTAGCATGGATGTTAGCTCAGGGCTGATCTTCCTCACGAAAAAAAAAAAACAACTCTAGAATTGAAGTTAAGAATAAAGTACACTTTCAGCTACTGAGTCTTTATGTGACTTGGTCCTTTAACTTAGTCCCTCGACTTTTTCTCTTACTGGTCCCTTTTGCCCAGCACCAACGTACATATGAGTAGTAATGTTAGCAATCTATAGGTGCAAGATACATTTATTCAGTCTACAGACATTTCTTGGTATGTCACCCTCCCCTTACCCCCAACCCCATCCTCTCAGTTTAGAGCATTGTGCAGTGAAGCCACTGTCAGTGATTCAATTCCCCTGGGGGCCCAAAAGGTTTCTTAGTTCCATGGCTGTAGTCTGCATTCTTGCCCAGTTGTATTTGGTGAATGCATGCTACTGGTCAGAGTGAAAGCAGCATTGCTCAGCCCAATTTGTCATTTCTTCCCCCAAAGCAAATCGCAATACCTGTTTTCATGGGGGTGGAGGTGGTCATCACTAGTAGCTTCTACTAATAGTGATGCTATGTGCCTGCTGTTGTGTCAAATGCTATGTACATTGTCATTTAATCTTGACACCAGTATTGTGAGGAAGATACTGTTATTTATTCCATTTTACAGATGAGAGAACAGGAACATGAAGAAAGGTTAAATGGCTTTCCCAAAGTCACACAGCTAGTAAGTGGCAGGGCAAGGATTTGAGCCTAAGTCTCTTGGTGACAGAGACTCATGCTGTTAACCACTGTGCTAAGATATATTCAGAGAAGACCTGGTAATAGTAAGTGGTGTGGAATGCAAGTCCTGTGACTCACACGTGAGCTGACCTTTTGAGATTGAACCTGCCTATTGTTACATCTCCGTGGGCTGGGTGTGTGAGAGTGTGCGAGGAGGTTTGCATTGAACAGTGTGTTTCTTGGAAGAGAGCAGCAGACGTGTTGCTAGAATAACCTTTCTCTCCTCTCCAGGCATGGAGAGGCATATTGAAGAAGATGAGGTCCGGTCATCAGCAGACCTTCGGATTCGGAAATCCCAGGTAGGATCTTCCCTGGTCCAACAACCATCTAGTCCAAACTTTTATTTTATTTTAAATACAATTCTTATTTCGTACTCAATTTGAAGAACTGGTAAAGGGGAGCTGCCCAGGTTGAAGCAGGGGACAGGGCTGGAGTCCAGTCCTTTTGGCCCCTCTCTCATACTTTCCTTCTCCAAGGAGGCCCCTGAAGAACTTCCTAAGGCTCCCCAGAGCACAGCTTAAGATTTAGTATGCCTCCTTGTTTTATAGGTGAGGAAATTGAAGTCTTCTCTCTAAAGATTGTTGGCCATTAGTTGTCCAATTTGGAGTTAGGCTCTTCGGTAGTCATCAAAGATATGATCCTGGTCCTTAAAGAACTGGCATGACGTTTATTCAAGTGGCATAAAGAAACTATTACGTAAGATGCAACATGAGAGCCATGTAAGAAGACATAATCAAATGCATAGGGTGCTCTCAGCATTCGAAGATCTGGGGGAGAATTGGGGGTAGGCAGAGGAGGCTGGGCCTTGGATGGACAGGCTCAGGGGTAGAGGTTCCCCTAAGAGGCGTGGGGGCAGGAGTGTGTGTGTGTGTGTGTGTGTGTTTATTGGTAGTAGCAGTGATGGGGTGGGGGTGGGAGTGAGCGGCAGACATGAAGAGAACAGCCTGTCTAGGGAAAAAAGTTTGTGCTGTGATTTGGTAGAAAATGTAGTATCATATTCCAGAGGTCTTTGACTGCTGCCTGGGGAATTTGGATCTGATCGAGTAGCCTGTATGCATTTACTTCAGGTTACAGTCTGTTAGGAAGATAATATGGTAGCCATGCAAAAGCTGGATCAGAGTGGGGAAGAGGCAAGAGGCAGGTGGGTCTCTGCTTGGGTTTTTGCAATGATTTTGGTCTGAATCTGCATGGTGGTGGGGGTTTGAAAAAACTATAAGGGGCCGGCCAGTGGCGCAAGCGGTTAAGTGCGCGCGCTCCGCTGCGGTGGCCCGGGGTTCGCCGGTTCGGATCCTGGGCCCGCACCACTTGTTAAAGCCGTGCTGTGGCGGCATCCCATATAAAGTAGAGGAAGATGGGCACGGATGTTAGCCCAGGGCCAGTCTTCCTCAGCAGAAAAGAGGAGGATTAGCATTGCATGTTAGCTCAGGGCTGGTCCTCCTCACAAAAAACAAAAAAAACAAAAAAAACAAAAAACTATGAAAAAACTATAAATATTGGTGATTTTGCAAAGGAAAAACCAGTAGGAGAGGTGGGCAAGGAATAAAACTTACTATGAAGATTTGAGCTTAGGTACCCAGGGCTGTTGAGTGAATGTTAGAAACAAGAAAAGTTGGGAAGATCAGTTTGAGTAAGAATTCAAGGATCTTTGGCAGGTATTGGACGTAGGAAGGGAGTCTGGCAGCTTGAGAAAGCAGGGATCTGAGATTCACAGAGATTATCTCCTTTGGCCTCACAATTACTATATGAGGTGAGCAGGACAGGTGCTGAAAACGTGCTTTGGAAAGACCCGTCGACTCTCCCAATGGTGTAAAGTTAAGAAAGCAAAACACTGAGTCTTACACCTGGTCTTTTGGTTCCAAGTCCAGTGCTGTGGTGGACTAGGCTATGTGGGGGCGGGGGCAGGGTCCTTCAACAGTGATGAACCTTCTGCCTCCCTCACTTCCCGGGGGCTTATTGCGTCTGACTCTGTTCCCACAGCACTCCGTCCTCTCCCGGAAATTTGTGGAGGTGATGACCAAATACAACGAGGCTCAGGTGGACTTCCGTGAACGCAGCAAAGGGCGAATCCAGCGGCAGCTCGAAATCAGTACGTGTTAGAAGTTTGGCGTGTGCCCCTTCACCTTCTCCTGCCGTGTTGTTGTGAGACCCGAAGAGAAGGAACAGCACCTCTGCTTGTGGCTTCTGTTTCATATTTTGTGCCCAAGCCCAGGACGGGCATTACAGCCCCTGCTGTAGGGTGAAGGGTGGCGCAGTGTTTCTCAGGCTCAAGGAATTTTGTTCCTGTGGGAGCTAGCATTTCCTCATACATAGAGGGGAGACGTTTGCTAAACAGTTGCTCTCCTGGGGACTCATGACATCTTTTTGCTGCCTTTTTGACAGCAAAGAACATTTATGAAATAAAAGGTGCAGTGCTAATTGCCGTGAGGAATCAAGAAATTAATAAAGCCATGACCTTTAGGAATTTAGTCATGTGGAATGCAGGGCCCTGCAGGGTGGAATGAGCTTTAAGTGGAGGAACTGCGTGAACAAAGATGTAGCCAGAAAAAAGCAAGTGTGTTCAGGAGTGGCAGGTTGCCCAGGGTCTGGGGAAAGGGTGCATTTGGGAGTAGCAGTGTGAGGTTAAGAAGGATCGAGGGAGGGCTCCCCCAGGAACTGGCTCCTTGTCCTGAGGGCCTTGGACTCCATGGCTTAGTGAATGGGGCCAATAAACATTCTGAGCTGGGAAGGAATGTGATCAGATATGTGCTCCCGGGAGGTACCTGCTGATAATGTTAAGGATGGATTAGGGGAGAAATCAGAAGAAAGTTGAGTCCAGAGGCTATTGGGGGACTGTTGTAAAGTCCATGGTCTTTTTAGCAAAGTTACCGTATTCCTAATTTTCAGGGGACTTTTGAAATGGTGTCCTTTGATCTTATATTTGATGCTCTCTTTCTTTTCTTATAAAGCTGGCAAGAAGACAACAGACGAGGAGCTGGAGGAGATGTTGGAGAGTGGAAACCCTGCCATCTTCACTTCTGGGGTGAGTGACTTTGGAGCTGGGATGCACGCCCCTCTCACTGGGAAGGGAGGCCACTGTGGAGCTCCGCATGGTTATCGGTTAGTGAGTGAAGGGTAGGCTGCAGTTGCAGGAGGCAGGGGGGCGAGGAGCTTGGCAGGTGTGTGTGTGTGAGGGCTGCGGCAGGGATGGTGGCTGATGGTCTGTCTTCCTGTGGCCTGTTGTAGATCATTGACTCGCAGATTTCTAAGCAAGCCCTCAGTGAGATTGAGGGACGGCACAAGGACATTGTGAGGCTGGAGAGCAGCATCAAGGAGCTTCATGACATGTTTATGGACATTGCCATGCTAGTGGAGAATCAGGTAACTGGCAGTGGGTACCAACGTGGGGAGGGAGGAGAGGGAAGCTCAGGTTCTCCTGAGAATGGCCGGAAGGGAGTACTGGAGAGCCAGGTGAGGTGGGGCGGGAGAATCACCACGAATTTACATAATGGAGTAATGGAATTCTAGGATCCCAGGGAAAGGAATGCTCTCTTGAATGCGACCACTTTGGGCAACCTCAGCCTTGTCATTCTTGTCTTGTCTTGCCTGCTACTTGGGCCTGGAAGTCATTTCTAGTTAATATGGGGTTTGGTGTGCTCTGTCAAGTACCTAGTTCCCTCTGGATCCCTCAAGATCTTTTTTTTTAATTAGAGATAATGATGATGCCTTAAAAATCTCCTGATAGGAACTATTTCACTGGTGACACTGAAAACATGTGACCTTTTCCCCCAGTACAAAGTTAGGTTTAACAGAGACCATTTTTTTCCATTTTTGTGTTTTCTTCTGTATGTGTTTTTCCAAAAATGTTGGCACTTGTTGCTAATGAATAAGAGGTGACAACAAAATATATGAAGGAATAGAAAAATAACATGCACAGAAAAACTTGAGACACTCATGGCGCTTAGTCTGACAGGTTGTTTTGTCCCTAGCGCACGTGCTCAGGGATGTAAGTCTCTGTCCCCTGCATATGGTATTGGTTTCACATAGTCAGATGGCTCCTAGTTCTTATGATATAAACATGCCGCAGTGTCGTGGTGCTGTGCCACTGTTGCCATGAGCTGCTCTGCCACCTGGAAAGGATTGAAAACTGCTTCCTTTGTGGAGGACTGCAAAACCCAGCTGAAGCCTGAGCACGGCTTGACTGGATTTTGACATCAGTTCCCTGCTCAGGGCTCAGGTGCCTTTCCTCCACCCCCTCGTGGCCTTTGAGACCATTTCTCAAGTCCCTCCATCCCCACTCTCCGTTCTTTTCCCCACACTGCCTTGCCGAGGAACTGGTTTGAGATTCAAGTGGTGGTGAGTGCCTTTCTCTGTTTATAGACTGCTGTAAAGCCATGGGTTGGGTTGAGGAAGGTCTAGGTGGGTGAGGGGAATTCTCATCCTAAGATGCCTGGAAATTAGTTGGAGTCACCAAACTTCCTGTCAGGAAGTAAAAGCTGGGAAGTGGTTGGGAATCTTATTAAGAGACAGTGGTAATAGATAAATAATAGATAAATAAAAGATAAATAATAAATAAAAGATAGCTTAGGTAAACCCAATGTCTGTCACTTAAGAGGCCTGGAAATATCTCTTAGAAAAAGCAAATGTTCCCAACCTCAGATATTTATTGAGCACCTACTGTGTGTCAAGCACTTCTATAAGTAGTGGACAAACTCAGTTCAGGCAGAATGAACTGGGTTCAGGTCTGAATGACCAGGTAGAGGCCAGCATCCTGGTAATGCCTTAAGAACATGCGATATTCTTATTTTGGTTTCTCTCCTCACATACTTAATTAAACAAAAAGAGGTGGTGGTGGGATGCCTCAGAATATACGTATGTAGTTACCAGGCTTCTAGACAATGTGCTCCAGGTGCCCAGTGCAGTGCCTGTCACAGGGAAGTAATTCAATGACTGTTTCTTGAATGAGTGACCGCCACCAAGGACTGGGACCCATAGGTAGTCATGTGGAAATGTGAAAGCGTGCCCAAGGGAAGGCTGCCCGTCAAGGTTTCTGGATGCTCCTCTTGGCACTGAAGATTAGGAGAGAGAGAAGCCTTCCCCACATTAGCTAGGGCTGCCCTGGGGTAGGTTTACTGGGTGTGACTAGTGTCTGTTCTTTGCAGGGTGAGATGTTAGATAACATAGAGTTGAATGTCATGCACACGGTGGACCATGTGGAGAAGGCACGGGAGGAAACTAAAAGAGCTGTGAAATATCAGGGTCAGGCCCGGAAGGTGAGACTCTCCTGCTGCCCTCGGAGAAGACAGTCCATTTTGCTTGCTGTCTCTCGCTCTTTCTCCCTTCCCTCTCCCTGTCTCTGTTTCTGCTGCCACCACCTCTTGCATCGGGGGAAAGGGAGCCATGATTGACCGTATTGAGAACAACATGGACCAGTCAGTGGGCTTCGTGGAGCGGGCCGTGGCAGATACCAAAAAGGCCGTCAAGTATCAGAGTGAAGCTCGGAGGGTGAGCGCCTTAGTCTCAGCCGGCCTTACTTGCTTCCCTTCTCTCTGGTCATTCCCACCTGTGTCCTTGAGCCCATGCCCTTCCTCTCTATCCTGGCCTCATCCAAACACCTATGTTAGCCTTTCCTGGAGACTAGCTGCCCTTCCTTCCCAGGTGTGCCTTGCATGGATCTGGCTCACACGCTCTCTGCCCGAGAACCCATACTTGAAGGCAGTTCTGTAGGATGATGCATTGCCCAGGTGTGGCTGCCTCTCTTCTCCTGCACATGGCTCATGAACTTTTCAGAAGTGACACTTGACTCCTCTGTTCTTCAGAAACTTTCTCTTCGTCTTCCACTCCAGTCGCCTAAGCCCTGCCCTGCTGCTTCTCTACCCTGAACCCAGTGCTGTGCTGATTGCTATGTAAACATTATCTCATATCTTGTGGAGCACCTATTCTACTTTATAGATGAAACAATTGAGGGTCAGAGGTTAGTTGGCTTCAGGCCACCTAGTAAGTATAGGAGTGTGATTCGTTCAGATTCCAATCATGCTCTTCCCACCCATGTATTTCCCACCTTCTGGTGCCCTGTTGCTTGAGGACTATGGAGTGTTTCTCCTGGGCTCTGATATTTTTGTTCCTCCTTTCCTTGTTTTTCTTCCAACTTCACCTATTGCTTGTGCAGGGATTTAGGGAGCTGGGAAGTTATTTTACATGATGAATCCAGGCTGGTTCATGACAGGACCATAATCGTGCTTTCTGATCCCCGGTCACTGTACTGGGTCTGACAGGTGGGAGTCTACTTTAGGGGAGAGATGGACAGAAGTTTGAAATTAGGACTATGTCAGCAACGTCTTTATGGTCCTTCTTGAAAAGGAAAAATTAGTCCCATTATATCTTGGCCTGTTGCTGCTTGGAGACCTAGGATAGTTGTTCTTATCTCTCTCCACATATGTGAGACTACAGTGTGAGCTGATAGCAGCTTCATATTTCCATCTGCTGTCATTGCTAGCCAAGAATTAATTTAAGAAATATAAAATATCCTCATGGAATGTCTTTATGTAGAGATATAAGCTTTTTACTTGAATTGATAAGATGCTATGTAGAGGTGAGAGGGGTTGGGTTTTGGTTGAATTACTGCTTTTTGGTTGTTTGTAATAATGACTTGTTTTTGTTTCTCTTATCCCTCTCTCCAGAAATTGATAATTCTCATTGTGGTAGTAGTTGTGTTGCTGGGCATTTTAGCATTGATTATTGGACTTTCCGTTGGGCTGAAATAAGGGCGGCCTGAGAGGCTGCTGCACTGAAATGTAAGTAAAGGGAAGGTTCTCGGGGACTCTGGAGTGGCTCCCTCTTGAGAAATTAGTCTGGGATTTCCAATTCCACTTCTTGCCCTTTGTGATTGTCCTTGGACACATGAGCTCTAAACGTTTAGTAGCCTGCGCATTCTTTCGTCTCCTTAGAATTCTCTTCTGGGGTTCTGGCTTCAGCACACGGATCGGGTCTCCTGCTTGTTCGTATCCTGTGGATTCTGTCCCTGCTTTCTGTCTTGCAGTGTGTTTCTCCACCTATCCTCGCATAGCTGAGCACATCCTTTTCATTCTCCTTACCCAGCAAGCATGCTCCTCAGTTGGGTACAATCTATCTGTTGGATCTGGAGTTTGTCTTCTGAATTCTTACCGGCTTTCATGGATGTTGGGCTTTGCTTTCTGTCTCCTTTTCAATGTAAATGAAGCTTTGATTGGGATTTGGGTCTGACAGGTTTTGTTTGTGGCTGACTGGGTGGATCTCAAATGATATAGTGGCTAACCTTTTTGAGTGCTGAGTTGTGCCAGACGATGTACTAATCACCTTACACACACCACTGAGTCCTCACAACACCCGCCTGAGGTAGGTGCTGTGATTATCCACATTTTACAGATGAAGACACTCAGGCTTAAAGAGAAGTTAAGTAACGGGGCCAAGTTGGAACACACAGCTAATAGTGGACCTAGGAGAGTTCTTGACGACATCTTAGCTTCTCTTTGTAAAACAAGGTAGCCATTCGTCATTGTCTACAAAGTCTAGAGAACCTTAGAGGATAGTGACTTTAAAATTTGGCTATTTATTTCTTTAAAATCTGGTAAAAAGAATAGAGCTGACCACCGTATCAGGGTTTCATGTACACAGCAGTAGCATCACAAGAATGATCTAGTTATTGGGACGGTTAAGACTTCTGAAATATTATTTTTCTGAGTAAACCATAGTATGTATTGTTTAAAAAAGGCCTAAGAAGTACAGAAAGGTGAACAGAATTAACTTTTAATATTATTGCTGATAAACCTGTGGCATGTTCACACACTCAGACATGGTTTTACATAGTTCAGACTATATTATCTATAGTTTTGTACCCAGTTACAAAACCGTAAGCATGATTACACATCACTGATATCTCTTTGTGAATCTAATTTTCAACACAAGATTGTGAATATACTCTCAATTATTTAACATTTCCCCAATGTTGGAGGTTTTTATTATTGTTTTGCTGTAACTAATAGTATGACTAACATATGATATTTTCTCATTTCTATTTTCTCTTTATTATAAATGCATAGAAGTGGACTTACTAACGTAATAGATATAAATATTTTTACGGCTTGATCCATACTACCATGTTGATACCCAGAGCTGGTCCTTCACTTTACCTTTGATTCAGTGTGCTGCTTGCCCCTTCATCCTCCTTCCGTGTGACTACAGGGTCTGAAAGTCAGATTGTTATAGCACTAAACATTCACCTTCTTCTTGAGAGATAAGCAGCAATGGGGTGATCAGCCTCTCATAGGCAATTAAGTGAGTGTTTCTTTTTTTCCCCTGACATTTGGAGTCTAGTCCTTGATGTTTTTTTGCTTGTAGTTTTGAGTTTTGTTGACTCGTAACTGTCTCATTGGGAAGAAGAATTAAGAAAAGGTATAATAGTTGATATCTTTGCATATCTTTGGATGAAAGATGTCTTGCAAATTCATAGTGCCCTTACCATTCCTAATTTCAGGAATTCAGAATGTAAATTAATCATTTTTTAAAATGAGGAGACTAATTAATATATTGTTTTTAGTTGACTTATTCGATCTCTAAGATGCTAAGTTGCTGGGCAGCTGTTGAGTTGCTTACCATAGTGTATTCTTTACTCCCTGACAAGGTCAGGACTGGTTGTTACTTCGGTCTGGACTCCCCTCTCCCTCCATGTGACCTGAGGGAGAGGTTTCTGAACAGGAGGGAAGGAAGACAGCTCACATTTATATGCTCCAGTTATGTGCCAGCTGCTGCTCTAGCATAATAACATCATCCCCATTTTCAGATGGGGAAGCTCATTCTTGCTCAGTGAAGTAAAGAAACTTGCCCAAGCCTTCACAGCTCATAAGGCGGAGCAGCCCTAATATGACCCCTGACCTTTCCCATATTCTTTTCACTGTGCCTTTCTGCCTTCTAAGAGAAGTGGGGGGCAGGGAGGAGTAAGGGAGAAAATTCTAGTACCAGAAAGCTTCTAAAATGTGTATTTGAAAGGTGCTGATGTGGGTCCCGCAGCGAGAACAGGTATTTTCAACCACTGAGTATGCCTCCCTACTGACAAGTCCTTCTATGGGGTTTGTGGTAGCCTGTGTGAACGATTCTAGAAGGCCCAGAGATATTTCTGTTTTTTCCTTTCATATAATGGGGCTTTTTGTTTCTTGTACAGGGGGATATTTAACTCCAGGTCCTGTCTTGAGTATGCCTATTGGATTTCTGAGGTTTAGTGTTGACTTTTCTATTGTTCTCCTGTTTGTAGTTATTTCTGATCTTTCCTTGCCACCTTCTAGGTTTGTGGCTTAATGTTGTTCTTCACCATCATCCTGTGCACTGATCAGCTCCTCTCCCTGCCTCTCTTAGAACCCGATTTTACTGCAACCTGGTGTGGCCACCCTTGTCTTCAGATGGGAATGGAGTTGAATGGCCTTCCTGAGAGAGAGTGGGACCCAATCCTTTGTTTCCTTGTAACCATCCTTGGACCTGAGCTGGCAAACAGTCTAGCCCTGGAGGAATCTAATCTGCCTGATGCAACCCTGAGTTCTCCCCAAAACCTTCCCCTGCCCCACCAACTCTGAAGTACCATCTCTCCTGGACTGTACAAACCAATCCAGCTTCTCTTTTTTCCCTCTGATGTGTCAAATTATGCCTCGCACCTTGGAAAGCCTATTTGAGACCTTCCCAAGGTGCTATATTTTCTACCTCATGGAGTATTCTTCTCCCAGAAATTGCAATGTATTTTTTTTAAGGGGGGGTGTCTTTAACAAAGCAAAGGGGTTCTTCCAAGTTTGGCAACAATAAGGCTTGACCTGAGTCTTCTACATGGCAGGATCCCAATCCTCAGTTTGTTGTCCCTATGTCCTGAAAATACGAGAGACTGGAATATGTCATTTTGGTCTTAGAAGCTGACTTGTTTGAAATTCAATCTTAAATTAAGCTCTTAGCATGTTCAGCTTGATGGCCAACTTGGATCTTTACGTTGTATTCTCTCATGTTTACTCAAGGAGGCACCAGGATGATGCAGTCATCTGAGGTTACCATTTGTAAAGGCAGAGGGTATGGGAATTTGTTTCCATGTCTAAGTCTTGGAAACTGGCTGTTCACCGTTAGAGTGATGCTTTGTGAAGCCATTGCCTGGAGGCCAAAAATAACCAGGCACTTAAAATTGGGCCAGGGACAAGGTGCTTGAGTCTCAGGCTCTGGCAATGCGGACTGGTGTGAGTCTTCAGTCACTCATTTCATGTGTTCTAGATGTATTTTTATAATAGTGTGTGTGAGATGTACGTGCATATATGCACGTGTCTCTCAGGAAGTAGAAACTACAAGTGGAGGATATTATAACCTCAAAAAAAAAAATAACCTTTAGCTAGGCTAAAAATTAGGTAAGAGACATTTGCTTACTTGCAAATGAATCATGGTAGAAATATGATTTTCCCACGTCATCGAGAAACCTGATTTCTAGATGAGTACTGGGAGAAAGAGATCTTTGGGGTGAGGACTAAGTTGATCCCCATTAAGTTTTTCTGCTTAGAGGACAGGTGTGACAAGTTTTGACACCTCTCCCCACCTGCTGCCTAGGCCAGGCTTGTCCTGAGAACATCCCACAGCAATTTGATATCATTCATGTCACCTTTGGGATGTCCTGTCTCCAGGGCTGAGTCAGTTGGGGGAGACCAGGGGCTACTGAGTAGCTCTTCCTGCTACCAGGTTAATGAGTGTGACAAGTTCTTTGTCTCCCCCAATTCTTGTCACAGAGGAGGGAACAGCCGGGAGATTTTCAGGTGTAGTGATTGGGCTGACCCAGTGGTGAGCCCCTTAGATTCCCTGCTGGTCTCTGCCAGTCGGCCTGACTTTTATTTCAGCTTTGACTTGAATCCTTTCTACCACAGGGTGAGCACCCTGATCCAGGCACTGCCCCCTGGCTTCCTTCGCAAAGGCTACTAACTCCCAGTCATCGCCCAGCACTCAGACAGAGCCAAGGGGATGCCCTGTTGCCCAAGGCTATGATGTCAGGTACTGGACTGGCTCCAGCAACAAGGGCAGACAAACTCTAATCACAGGCCTCTTCTTTCCTTAGATTGAGGCCTGGGGCTTATATTTTGGAATACAACAAGTGAAGGTTTTTTGTTGTTTGTATTTTTTTTTAAATGTAAACTCGATTATTTTATTGTTAATTTAAAAATAAATGACTTTATATTGATTGTGAAATGCTTCTGGCTCTGTTTCCCTGCATAACACTTAGGGATTGGGTGCCACCATGTGGTCGTTCTTGTTTAGGTTTTGGAAAGGGGTTAAAATCTTTTTTAACCATCTCTGGATCAATGGATCAAAAGTTCCAATTTTTGAAAATGGTTTAACTCTCAAAGATTGCAATGTAACTGCATTTGAGGTGCTCCCCCCAAAAGAATTCAGTTCACTCATTAAGAGTATCTGCTTCTAGGAGGAAATGGGGTAAATCTGACGTGAAGGTATCTAGAAGGCAGAACAACATACTAACCATCCTCCAAGATTGCTGTTGATCTAATTTTAGATATCTTACCTAGAAGTAACATTTCTGTTCACATTGTGGGTTCTAGAAGCCAGATCCATCTCCCTTTTCCTCCATATCCTCTTCCATGTCCCGATCCAATTTTGTCTCCCTTCCTTTGGAACTCTGTCTGCACAGTGATGTTGTTTCTCACGTGCTTTTTCTTTTGTTGTCTGAATGAGCAGAAGAAGATCATGATCATGATTTGCTGTATTATCCTTGCCATCATCTTAGCTTCTACCATTGGGGGCATATTTGCCTGAAAAAGGTGAGCCATCTGTGGGGAGGGTCATGCCTGCTTTCACTTACTGGAAACCTGTGCATCCTGAAGGTGTTGTTTGTCACCAGGTGCCCTAATCTGAGTGGGGGTTAGATGCTGGAATAGATCAAGATTGGAGAAAACTAAGGAAAGAGATGTTTCATAGAAAAATGAGTGAAGAATGAGTTGGTAGTAGGTAGATAGGGAGACAGAAGGTGGCAGTCTGTTACATAACTAGGTCTGGTAGCTTTGTTCAGAATGCTTTATATAAGGATGTTGATTAAAAAAAAGAGAAAGGATGTTGATTTCTTGCAGCAAAATTTGGGCCAAATCATCTGGGAATAGCAAAAGGAGAAAGATTAGTTCTTACATTAGAAGCACCCTGAAGTCTTTGGAAGAGGGCCACACAGTAAACCCAAAGTAAATAAATTTCTTCCCTTACAAGGTGAGGACAAGTTAAAACAGCCTTGTGAGTTGAGTGATCTCTTCCCCCTGCAGAAGAGGGACTTGGCAATCCTGACCTCAAACATCCTGCTGTATAATCTGTGATTTTCTTTCCCTCCATTTTTTTATTATTGCCTTCAGCCCTCACAGATGGATCCTCGACTGGCATTTTTAATCCTTCGTCCACCTCTGTGGTGCCATCACTTCTCCACTGCAGATTCCTCAACAGCTACTCCTCTTTCCTTTATGAAACTTCTTGTGACACAGGGCGTCAGTCAACTACCTATTGAAAGTTATGCAAAGGGAGACTTAGGACAATAAGAAATTGGGTGGCGGGCGGTGGTGAAGGAACAGGGAGTACAGCAATATACGGCTGGGTAGGAAGATGGTTTAAAGGAATGGCCTGCAGGGTAGAGAGAAAGCATAATAGGTAACTGTTCAGGAAATAAAACTTATGGCCTGCAGTGAGGTTACGGCTGCGAAGAGGCAGATATTGTAGCATACCCAGTTCATCAGAATCTTATTTAACTGCTGTTAAGTAGATCAGGATCAGGGCACTTGTTACTTCTGCTCCTCAAGTTCTTCTAGGTCTCACCCTTGACCAACCCTTCCTTCTTCAGGGTCCAGTAGTCTAAAGTGAAGACTGTCTAACAATAGGCACCGTGCATGTCTTGCTCACTGCTGTGTCCCCAGTGCTCAGCACAGTGCCTGCCACTTACAGGTGCTCAAGCATCTATTGACTTAATTCCCTATAGTTAAGTTTTGATTTCCGCTCATGGATAAGTCCTTGGATTTGACTCTTAAGCCCTTTAAGACATCAATGGGAAATGGTTTGTTAGTATCAGAGGCTGTGTAAAAATGCCTGGGAATGGGTTGATCCACTTACGCAAAGATACAACAGGCCCCCCATTACCACAACGTATACTTTAAAATCCTTTTTCTATGGATGGTGATGGTGGAGTTCTGTCTATCAAGAGCTTCTCACTCTGCAAAGATGGCTGGCTCCAGGACTGTGGTTCAGTAACAAAACATGGAGCCAAAACAAAAGTAACAGGTTTATACCATGACTGAACTCCCAACAGTCATCAATATCATGCTCTATGAACCGTAACAAAGCGGAGATGAAGATGGTAGGTCAGAAAGGTGAATCGAGGCTGTCACTCCCATCACTCCTCACCTGATTCACATTGCCAGCTGACCCTGTTGGCCAGCAACGTGTGTAAGAAACTGTTCCAAACACTGTCCCAATTCAAGGTTCCAATGTGTTCAAATGCAATTTAGTGATGTTATATTACAAGAGGTTCGCTAAAAATACATTAAAAATAGTATACAACTCTTGAGGACCACACAATTGTTTAGATAAGTTTGTCCTTTGAAAGTAAATTATTTTCTTTGCTGGAGATCTTAACTTTTTAAGAAAGTGGCATATAAAAATTGACATTTTAGTCAGTGTGCTGTTTTCTACCCACTTTCAAAAGCAAAGGTTTTAATATTTCTATCAATTTTTACGTCCTTTAGTTTGAATAGGGGATAGAGAACTATTGCTGGCTAGCTCTGAAAAACAGATTAATCCTGTTAAGGGCAAACAGGGAGCTGGTACACTGGGGATCTGAACCACGTGGGGCCCTCCCTCATCCAGCAGTAACTGTTTGAGTGCCGTGTGGCACACTGCACGGCACCAGAACCTGCAGGGACATAAAGATAGAGCCCCCCACTCTCCCTCCTCAGAGAATTTCAGACCTAGGAAGGACCACACAATTGCAACCTGTTTTTGTCAGTTCCTTTTACTCAAAGGCAAAGGTATGTTCTTTCCCATATTGTCCAGTATCCCCCCTTGCAAGACTGAGAGAAGATGGGTAGCTGGGCAAAAATAAATATCTGTTGAATCAATTAACCTATGTCCTATTGTTCTTTGCTTTGCTTTTCCAAAACCGTTTGAGTCTGTATTTGTAACTAAATAAAATATCATAGAAACTAGCTCCTGAAGTATATATATATAAAAGGTAGTACAGATATTAAGTTCAACTTACATCAGAGGTGGGAGATGCAAACATCTGCCTCAGCCCTGAAGATGTTTATCTTATAGCCACGGAGACCCAGAGCTCCTAATAAATAGTCAATCAGGCCTGTTTCTTAATTATTTAATGATTTAGAGTGACCAATGAGAAGTTATATCCTGAGGTGATACTCAAACTTTAATATAAATATAATGCACTTTTAAAAAAAATCAACAGATATCATACAATTTTTCAGAAATCATCTACTCATATGCTGTTCCTTGGTTATGACATCAGAGCTACCCAAAGACTTTAAGGGTAGGCTGAGGGGAATAAAAATGTGGATTCCTTCTCTCTCAATAGCCTATGTACATTTATTTCTCACTACACACGTTCGGGCATGTAGAACTTGCCCCAGTATCGCCCCTTTTGGGTCAAGTCATATGGGCTCAGTACTTTCCGTATCCCCAGCATGTTGGCAGTGGCTATGCGCTCAAAGGTCCAGGGGTTTTGGTTATTACGTTCTCGTTCCTCTTGATCTTTCTGCATCTTCTCTAGAGTCTCACGGCTCACAGCCTTGGCTGGGAAGGGCAACTTGTGGGCAACCTGGTCGAGGAAACCTTGCACCTCTTTGAATTCACAACGCCCGCCCATCTCTACTATGAGGCGGCCAGCCTTCACGGGCGTCACGTAGTGGTCAATGGCACCTTTGCCTCCCCCCATGCGCTGTCCCATGCCCTTGCGGGTGATGGGCTTGAAGGGGGCTGGTACTCGCCATAAGGCAAACATGTTCTTGGGGTCCATAGAGCGGTTGATTGTCAGGCGCATCATTTCAAAATGGCCCCAGTGGAGGTAACCACCACCCAGTGCCTAAAAGGGAATGGAAGAATTAGAAAGGTGGGGATTTAGATATCTTTTATGGGCTCTATTCTTATGTCTCTTCTTTTATAGTAATGGTAGCTTTAATGATACACATGAAAATAAAAATATAAGTTCTAATAAGTATAATGGAGGAAAAGTCTAGAGTACAGTAATAAATGAGAACGAGGGTGGACCCACTTCAGTGGATAGCCAGGGAAGGCCTCTCTGAGGAGATGACATTTGAAACTGAGGCCAGAACAGTAAGAACTAGCCTAAGAAAAACAGACGAATGTTCCAGGCAGAGGAATGTGTCCCCTGCATATGTGAAGTCCTTGGCACAGCAGAGGACTTGGTGAGTTTGAGCAGAAGCCAGTTTGGCTGGAGTAGAGTGAGGAATGGGGAGTGAACATACGGTTCTGAGAGGCAGGCTGTGGGAAGAGGACTTTAAATCACATCACTCTGGCAGCCTGATGGGAAATAAACTCTAGTCCACACACATTTGTGTAGCTACTGACGTCAAGTCTTCATGGAAGATACTTGATGAGTAAGGAAACAGCTGTCCCACATCCTAAGTTGTGGATAGCTTTATTTTTACCAGAGGCTTGAGAAGATCTCATGGTCTGATTATGGGGTCAATTAGGTCACCTCTTCCTTCTGCTTTTACGTTATTTTCACTCTACATTAAAAAAAAAGTATATAACTCAAATGTTTACTGGGTAGTGCAATCAGTTTAAAGAGCAACTGGTGGCAGTTCTAACAAAACTTGTGGAGGAAGAGACTAGAATTAACTCAAAGAGAATGAGATTTTGTTAATCCCTGGCTTCCATCCTGTGGCTGCTTGATGCTGAACTCACCAAGATTGCAAAATTGCCTTCTGTGAACTCAGTTGCTTCAGTGGAAGGTCCTCGTATGTCTCTCAAGTTTTTAGGTTCTCTTCTCACTTTTGGCACAAGTGGTACCCTTTCAACAAATCTAAGCTTGGGCTTTTCAGGAATGGAAACATCTAAAAGGAGCACAGACAACCAAGAATAAGTAAAACTACATATCTCAAAGGACTCATTTTCTTCCTAGAAAGATTTACAACAATCAGGTGAAAGTCTTAAAAAGAAAGTTACCACTGAAAAATAATTCCAAAAGTATATTAGGGTTTTCTTGTGGATACTTTCATTGACAGTGGAATCTTTTGGCTATGACAAGAGTTAATGCAAATATTTCTGAACCTTTGAAGATAGCAAAGTTTTAACCTTCAAACCAAAATGCATTTATTAAATGCCTACTCTGTGCCTAACACTATAAAAGAGACCATTTGGGAAGTTATAGAGATATAAGACTGTTGCAGAATAACACTAGCTAACATTTTTTTCTTTTGAATGTTTACTAAGTGCTGGACATTGAGCTGAATGCTTTATAGGCATTATCTCATTTATCTTTAAAACAACTTTATAGCCTTGGTAATGTTTCAGGGTTCCCTTTTTAAAAATTTTTAACATTTTAAAGTTTAACACACATACATCAAAGGGCCAATAAAAAATGTACAGCTCAATGAATTATCACAAAGTGAACGCATAAACACACCCACAAAACTATCACGCAGATCAAGAAACAAATTTGGCAGGTAGTATTTTTAATCTCCATTTTATAGAAGAGGAATTGGAGGCCTAGAGACATTTTATAATTTGGTCTAGGCCATCTAATTAAAACAGCAAAGCCACACAGCAGGACAGTTGTTTTTTAAACCACTACACTGTCACTCTGGATGTTAATGGTAGAGGAAAGAATACTATATTGTACATGAAAATATTTAAGTTCTCCTGCTCTACCACATTCTTGTTGGGAAACTTAACCTAGGAATTTTTTGAGTGCTCTTTCCTTTGTTTATGCAGAGGCTTTTCATGCTGACCTGTACATTTCCTACAACTGTGCAACAGCTTGCTGGGTGAGCGTGGGTGGGCTGAAATGCAGGCCAGATACATCTTTATCATGTCTGACATTGTGACAATTGGGAAAAAAAAATTACTAACTTGTAAGTCATTTAAAACATTTCTATAGTAAAACAATCATGGCTGTATGCAGTCAAATATACAACAGGAGATTTCAAGGACTATCAAATTATCAATGGTCTATTCAGGGTTACAGAAACTGCCCCCCAGTTTTTCCATGCAGCTCCAAAGAAACTCAGTAAAGCTTTCTCTCGCCTACAAGTCCATATATACTTCCAGAGCATGTAGCAGTTTAACAGTTATATGTAGAAGATAAGGCCTTCCAAGGTCAAGGCCCCTTTCCTTTTTTTTGAGATTTCCAATGTTACAAAAAAGAAATGGTAAATTAGCTTTACAAAATTGTGGCTTGCCTTAAATGTTCATATTTAACAAATTAATGCTTTTCACATAATAGTTAAATGACTGCATATATGTAACCTCACTTGGAGAGAACATCAAAAAGTCCAAATTTGAGGCCAATGAGCCCTAGCAGAGGGTGGACCATGGGCCACACTCTGGTGGTAGGCCATAGGGGAGATATCCCATGACACATTTGCTCCCTAAAATCCAGAGCCTTTTTTTGGTCTCTTTTGCTCTTTCATTTATCTCTAGTGCTTAGAACACTGCTTGGCATACAGTACGCCCTCGGTACCTATTGACTGAAGGAGTGAATGCCCGATAGGCTAAGCACAACAATACCCCGACGTTTTCATCTGCTCTCCGCTGGGTCCCATCGGAGAAAAGACTTACAAACAGGAATATGACAGATAAGCTCTCACCCTCAAAAGTTGGCACCGGGAGCAGCGTCTTCAGGCCAGCACTGGCGGGCGGGGATGCCCAAGAATCTAGAAAGACAAATCAAGTTCAAGGACGACGCGGACAGGACTAGGCCCTGGTGCAACCTGGGCCCAGGACACTCCTGACGGAGGCGTCCTGAGGGGTGGGGCGCGGGTTCCACCAAATGGGCTCCCAGGCTCAGGCCCCCAAAGACACCAGCCGGGGTCTCCGGGCGCCGACCCCCCTACGCGGCTGGGACCCTTTTGCACGAATCTTACGGCAGACGGGGCGGCAGCAAAGCGCAGGCCCTACCAGGGCTTCAGCAACCCCATGCGGGGCCGCCTTTGAGTTTGCAAGATATAGGATCTGGGGTGGGGAGGAAAAAAGGAAGGCTTGGAGGGACCAAGGGGACTTCCGACCTGATAAAGGGACTCGCAGGAGGGGCGCACTGGCCCGAGCCAGCAGCCGCCACATGGTCACGCGCGTCCAGCTCCGCCGGGCTCCCCGCAGCGACACCGGCGATTACCTCGACCCGGGTGGACACTGCGGAGCTCTAAACCCACGCTGGAATCATCGGCGCTGGCGGCCGGAAGTTGCGTTCGCGTCGGTGCACCCCGCACAGAGTCCCGACGGAAGCAGAAGAAACCGGAGCCTCGGGGCTTGGGTTCCGGTGCAGGGTATGCTGGTCACGCCGGGGAGCCGCTTTGGCTTTCTGGGGTTCTCCATCCAGTCTGGTGTTTTTCGCTAGAGGATGGCATGGTGGCCGGGCGGGGAGTTTTTCCGCAGAGTCGCATGCTGAGGAAGCCTGAGTACACATAGCAAGTTGGTTCCTTACAATTCATGACATGATGCTACTTCTCCAGGGGGTCCCTCAAAGACTTCAGGAAAATCCCACTGATTATCATCGTCTTAACATTTACTGGGCACTAGTGGTGTGTCAGGCATTGAGTACCTTATCACTGCATTTACCTCCCAACAAATCCACGAGATAAGTAAATCATTACATCCATTTTGCAGATGCCATTCCAAAGACAAGGCAGGAAAACAGTACAGCCAGAATTCAAGCACAGTCTCTGTGGCTCCACAGACCCCAGTAAACGCACCATATCATAACTTGATGTCAAGTTAAAATGACACAATGTATAATTATTCTGGGAGACTGTTGGGCAAATCATTTTTATGGTCCTGAAGCTTTTTAATATTTAGAATGAGGATCTTTTTCCAAGCTTCTGGGACGCAAATGGGATTAGCAAATTGAGACTGATATCTGTTGTACTTAAATCATGCTAAATCTGTGTGTGGTCTTTCCCCAAGGATTAATTTCATAAATGGCAACAAATAAAACCTGTAATGCTTGCAGAGCTACTGGGAGAACTCTCTTTGTCCACAACTTTATGCACTTCTGGATTATCTGCACACTGAATCTGCTTCAAAAGAGTTAGTGGACTTTATTACAGACAATCATTTCTGTCCCAAGAGCAAATGTAAACGGTCAACTGTTGCCCCCCACCCCTCACCCCCCAAGATGATGTCAGGTTCTGGGCAGCTCTTCTGTGCTCACCACTCCCCTCCACCAAAAGTGAGAGATCTAAAGGTGCTCAGGCATTTAAAAATCTCAAGCTTGTGTAACAATATTGTGTAATACTGTTCTGAGTGGAAAATAAAGCGGCAACGCAATCACTCTTTGATTGGTCTCCAAGTCTTTTGGTGCCCTAAAACTTCCACCTCATTGTGTATTTTAAAAGAACTAGACAGTATACTCGAAGTTCTGCATTTAAATACTAACCATGGGGGCCGGCCTGTGGCTTAGCGCCTAAGTGTGCGCGCTTTGCTACTGGCGGCCCAGGTTCGGATCCCGGGCGCGCACAGACGCGCCGCTTGTCCGGCCATGCTGAGGCCGCGTCCCACATCCAGCAGCTAGCAGGATGTGCAACTACCACATACAACTATCTACTGGGGCTTTGGGGAGAAAAAGGGAAAAAAAGAAGGAGGATTGGCAATAGATGTTAGCTCAGGGCCGGTCTTCCTCAGCAAAAAGAGGAGGATTGGCATGGATGTTAGCTCAGAGCTGATCTTCCTCACACACACACACAAATAAATAGTAATTATAATAATGTCTATTGTTCTTTGCAAGAGTTGTGTTGGGTACAACGGAAATACAAAGATGAAAAAACAGTGATTCTGTTCTTTAGGAATTTATATTTATGTGGGGACAATGTGCTGAACATGCAAATAGCTGATGTTGAGATATCAGAAGAGAAGTGCAAATAAAGGACTGGGAAAAATCGAAAGAGGGACCTGAGATCTTCCCTGATCCCTGAAAATGGTTTTCCCACCTTCAGTTTCTCACAGCTCTTCATTTACACGTCTCTTGTGATATTTCAATGGTAGTTGTTTGTAGGAAACTGAGGTCCAGAGATTAAATGATTTGCTACACAGCTAGTGTGATGCAAAGTAGGGGTAAGAACTTTGGTGTAATTCTTACTTTTACTGGAAGGGTTTGCTAAAATCTCCCAAACGTTGCATCAGACTTTCCTGAGACCTTTGTTAAAAATTTAAGTATTTGGTCCCTACTTACTAAGTCAGAAACTCTGAAGATGGGGTTCAGGAATTCCTAGTGTGGACTAGCTCCACAGGTGATTCTAATGCCTAATCAAGTTTGAGAATCAGTGCTCTGTGAGCACTCTGAAAATTTAAAAAGTTGAGTATAGGTACAAGGCATTGTTTCTGGATTATCCAGGCCTACATCCACTGGGATTTATATGTATTTTTTCCATCTGTGTAAAAATCATCTAGCACCTCAGTTTTTAACCTTTTCTTATTTTAAAATCAAGAGATAACAAAAACCTGTAGCCGAGTCCCAGGTCTGGTTGTTGACGTACATGATGCACACACCCGTGTGTGTGCTATCTCATTTTAATAAATAGATTGGGTTTTTGCTTATCAAATTCTAATCATAATATCACAATATAATAAATCACCATGGAACTTCCTTGCTCCAGGAAGCCCACAGAACCTTCTTAAGGGGCTTGTTAATATTACCTTCTTTATCAGTTTAGCTTCCACGTGATGTAGAGCATTTCTAAAAGGACAATGGTGCCATAGATTTTTCCCCTACAAAAGACAACATACTCTAATACAATATTAATAATCAACATACTAGAGTGACTTGCTGTTTGCAAAGAGCTTTCATATACACATAGGTTATCTTATTAGAATCCTATTTTGTGGATGATAGTGGTGGAAACGAGGCATAGAAAAGTCTTCACTCATTTAACAAATATCTATTGGGCTTCTACCTTACCCATGAGAAAATTGAATGTGTCTACATGCATATTCGAAAGCTTTAAAGCCAAATTAGATTCAATCCCACCTTAAGGAATAACTACAGTTTTACAGGAGAGCTATTTTCAGCATTTCTCATTGAGTAAGTCAACAGGCACAAAGAATGGATCAACTCTTTAACTGTTTGACCAAGAAGAGGGAACAAAACCAGAACTGTTGTTCTGGTTTCTGTCTTGGCCTTCACAGACTATATCCATGGTATCCCATGAATGGTTTCATCATAATAAATGATTCCCTGTTGTTGGGTTATTTATAAATCTATTATTATATCGGGCCGGCTCTGTGGCTTAGCGGTTAAGTGCGCGCGCTCTGATGCTGGCGGCCGGGGTTCGGATCCCGGGCACGCCCCAAGGCACCACTTCTCCGTCCAACCCGAGGCCGAGTCCCACGTACAGCAACTAGAAGGATGTGAACCTATGACATACAACTATCTACTGGGGCTTTGGGGGGAAAAAAATGAATAAAAAAAAAAAAAATAAATCTATTATTATAGACCACACTGTAATGAACATCCTTAGACATATCCTTTTGGTACTGTTTTGGTATTTCTTTTGGGCAAATTCCAAAAAGAGAAATTACTGGATCAAAGAGAAGTTTCATTTAAAATCATTTTGCTTCATACAATTGCGCAAAATTGGCCTTCACCAACAATGTTTCAGAATGCCTATTTATCCACACCCTTGCTGAGGAAGGATATTATAATTCTTTTAAAGCTTTGCCAGTATGAAAGGTGAAAAAGCACATCCAATGTTATGTTTACAACAAGATTGCTTATGACTCACTTTTGCCTGAGACCCCAAGGTATATGGTAATCTTCATATTCCAAAGTGAGGAATCCTAGGCAGGACTTATAAAGGAGGTGGTAGGAACTGGCTTTGCTATTTTTAGCTCTCCACTTTCCTCTAGCCTGTAAAAAGCACTGGAAAAACCAAGAAAGGAAGTGGAGACTGGAGATTACAACAAAGATGTCTTTGGACAGAGTTGTTGGTTGGACTGTGTTGTACTCTGAGTTGTACACAGCCGTACTGTGAGTTTCGCCTCCCCTCCCCAGTGGGGGTGCTCTGTCAGGCTTAGCGAGGGACTTTTCAAGACCACGCAGAGAGCTCGATATGGATCCTCTGCAATTTGAAGGGGATTGGCGTTTGATACAGGCTTGACAAAAGCCTATGTTGGGAGGCTGATCCAAGCTGCCTGTGGCATCAGGGGGCTGCAGTTGGGAAGTAGCCACATTCCCATTGATGGCGGGTCAAAGGTGTGCATATCCTGTTGACCAGATGTGGACCCCAGTGCAGTGTGCCGGTTTAGGGTTTTCTTATATCTTGCCCAACAGGACCCCATTGAGGGACAGAGGGAAAGGAGCTGGAAGAGGTGTAATGATGGATGTGCAGGGCCCGAGGGAAGAATCGTATGCAACTGTCCAACCATTCAGCAGAGATGAATTTGCCTGTATCAAGGGAATTGCAGATGAGACATCCTCAGCTTAGGGTAGGATGTCTGTGTGTGTGTGCGTGTGGTGTGTGTGTGTGTGTGTGTGTGTGTGTGTGATGGTTCTCCGTAGAACCCATAAAGCACCCATGAGAGAAAGAGTATACTTTAAATTATACCCAGATCCGAGTCAGTTACTGTTGGGTGCTGTATTAGTGTGCTATGGCTGCTGTAACAAAGTACCCCAAACTGGGTGGCTTAAATAACAGAAGTTTATTGCCCCACAGTTCTGGAGCCTAGAAGTCTGAAATCAAGCTGTCAGCGGGGTTGGTTCCTTCTGAGGGCTGTGAGGAAGGATCTATTCCAAGCCTCTCTTCTTGGCTTGTAGATGGCCGTCTTCTCCCGGTGTCTCTTCACATTGTCTTCCCTCTGTGCATGTCTGTCTGTGTGTCCAAATCTCCCCTTTTTATAAAGATGACATTATTGGATTAGGGCCCACCCTCATTACCTCATTTTAACTTGATTACCTCTGTAAAGACTGCTTCTTCAAATAAGGTCACGTTCTGAGGTTCTAGGGGTTAGGGCTCCAACACATCTTTTTTTTTGGGAGGGAAGGGGACACAATTCAACCCATAACAGGTGCAATGCCAGTCAGCCATCCCAGAGGGGTCAGAAACAGAGGTAAGAGATCAGGGCTAGAAAAGATCTTACTTGCCTGGTAAAAGTGCAAAGTGAGGAAATAGAGACCCCTCCCTCTCCACTTTATTTTCGCTACTGTCTCTGTGTCTGGAGCAGGACTGAGCTAGGGGTGGG